ATGTGTGTGTGTGTGTGTGTGTGTGTGTGTGTGTGTGTGTGTGTGTGTGTGTGTGTAAGAGAAAGAGAGAAAGTAAGAGAAAGAGAGGGGCAGATAGACAAAGAAGCAGACCGAGCCTGAGACTGTAACAGAAAGAGTTCAGAATAGGAAGAAAATCACGCCAGTTAGGCTAATGATCATCTTGACAGGGCTGTCATCACACACTTTAGCAGCCTGTTTTGAAAAAGGTCGATCCACAAACAAAACGACACACATTGATAGACCGACCAAACTATCCCGTGGGTTTACAGAGACCTGTACTTAAATCCTCGTCACAAGTTCCCACGCTAATGAACATTGTTTTTACTAATTTAAAAAAAAAATGTTTAACAATCAGAGTGAATGATAATCTAATCTCTTTTGGTTCCAATGAATGACACTTCTCTGGGAATAATAAAGACTGAGCCTCGAGGCGGCATTGGAACACATTAAATAATCATTATCATTAACAAACGATGTATACTTCAAGTACTTGTGGTTAATAGTCTTGTATGAGTCGCAACTGAAACAGATAACGGGCAAGTATAACGACACCGTTGATTATTTGAATTGGAAATCTAAAGAGCTTTAACTTTCAAAGAAATAAAAATGATTTTTTTGAAACTGTGGGAAGTAGCTAACGGGCCATGCATGCCCTTTATTAGGCCTTTTCATATACATTATGTAGTACAGCGTGGGTCTAACTTTCGATTCGACGCTGTGAGTGTATAGGCAAACATTAATCCGCTTAAAACCAACACTTTCTATTTGAAAACAGCAGTAAATCGAAAGAAAATAACATGCCCCATTTCTTTTGTACTATTCGAGCAATCTCTCTAAATCGAAAACCCAGCTACACTGAAGTAAATCCAGTGGTCCCGCAGATTTCGGTTTTATAGCCCCCCCCCTCGACATCCCTGAGAAGCCCAAGTTAAACAACGGGGAGCTAAAAAAAACTGCATCAAAGAACTCGAGCTCATGATTGGTCTGTAGGGAAAGATTCGAACTGTAGTCACGAGCATCATCGTCGTTAGAGCTATCCAGTATCAGTCACAAGGGCTGTCAGATTGGAGTTCTTTTCTTTTCGGTTTTATTATTTTTTATGTGTGTGTGTGTGTTTTGTGTTTGTGTGTGTGTGTGTGCGTGTGTGTGTGTGTGTATGTGTGTGTGTGTGTGTGTGTGTTTGGTTAGCGACTTATTCTCCTTTTAACAAGGGTAAGTCAAGTTCAAAGACACCCTCGTTTCTTCTCATCTAATGAAAGTGAGTGGGTGGTTGGCTGGCTCTCTAGTGTGGCTTGCTCCTTCTTCACTATTAAACATCTATCAGTAGGTGGTTTGCAGGTGCTCTGTTGTGGTTTTGCTCCTTCTTTTCTATCAAATTCTATCGTCCTTATCTCTTCTCGTTCTTTTTTTGTGTGTACATTACTCTCTTATAACACCTCTAATCTTCGGCACTCATGATATGACCGAATTGTGTTACAAGTGACGTAAAACTCTTACTTAAACTAAAACAGATTATTATATCGTTCATATCTCATCTCCTTCTTTTCTTGTTATGTTTCTCTTTAGTAACACGTAACACATCTAATGTTCGACACTAATATGGCCTATTTGTGTCGCAAGTGCTATCAAACTTTGTCTAAAGCTAAAACTAAACTTTCTATTTTTTAAATCCTTTTTTGTGTTTCTTTCTCTCTTGTAACACATCTAATCCTCTACACTTATATGCCGTAATTGTGTTACAAGTGCCATTGAACGCTTACTAAAACATAAAACTAAACTGAACAACTGCCACTCGTAATTTTTACCTTGTCTGCTTTGTCTGTCTGTGGGTGTTTGGCGGGTGTTCTGGTGTGGTTTTCTCCTTCTTT